GAATGCGGAATTTCCACTACCGGCTCAAGACTGGACACAGGGCATGAGCATCGCCTCAAAGCTTTTTGAGAAAAACAAAATCACTGACTTATTAGGTACAGTATGTTTAGTGTATAGCCGCAGTGCAGTCATGCAGAACGTTAATTAGTTGTGTAGTGTTAAGTATGATAATTACTAAAAGTTTAGATTTTATTTTAGAAACACGCATCAATGTTAAACAACGTAAACCACAGCTGAAAGTTGAAACAACATAGAATGCATCTATAAACATAGAATGCATCTAAAACATATGAATACACCCTGCAAGGCATCGTATACATGTTTATAAAAAAGTGTATATTACAATGAAAACGGCACACACAGTGGTTTAATCATTTATTGTATGCATACACAGCTGACTTACAGCAGAACAAGAAAAATCATGTTTTTAGATTGAGTCTATTTGGCTCAGTATTCACGATACTGCACCAAATAGAGTGGAAGTTCCCAATAGTCCAGTGAATATTATCAGTGCTTAACCTGGGAAGTTCTGCAACTTAAGTGTACGGCGCCACCCATACACCCAGGTAGCCAACTTCACCAAATACTATTGTTTGCAGTAACAACCCTCAACGCTTTTAGAAATGCAGTTCACGTGCTTAATGGTCACCCCAAATCTTCCCGAAAAGCATACACGACATTGCGTGTGGTAGGTTAAAATTACAGAAAAACCGTAAATGAAATAAACTGTTCATGCAATATCATTTTTAAAAATCGTTAAGATATGCATGGTTTAAGGACAATGCGAGTTGAAATGGACCATATCAACAGAATCGGTTTAAGGATAAGCAATGGAGTAGGTTAAAATGATTGCACCAGGTGAGCTTCAGCTGCTTGATAAGTTAACCTATTAAGCTGCACTGTGATGCCTTGTACCATTCGTTCACCCATTTGAATAACGTGTCTGAAGTTGTATGGTGCTCCACGTGTCCATTTAGTAGTTACGATTTGCATACCATGGCAGATGTTCCTAACCTAGCAGGAAAAACATACATTCTTAAGTTTTTTTTACATTTAGTGGAATTTATAAAATTCAGTGGAATTATTACACCCAACAGGAACAATCTTTGCTTAAATTTAAACATACATGAGTTCGCATTAATTTAGCATTATCTGTCTAAAAGTAAACACACTGCAAGATATAATTCGCTAAATGTTTACCGATGTGTGAAATGCGCCAAAGTAGATAATGGATGAAAATCTTTTCACCTGCAAAAATAACCTCAACCTGCATATCCGGAGTGTTGCTACTGTATCCGTAAGTTAACCGTAGCACTCACACAGAGCACCAAAGCTATATCGTTAATCGGGTCTCTTCGGTATAGCCATTTGAAAATTATTCGTTTTGCAAGTGTGCTCTACAAAAATATCATGGTGACGATAGACTTCGTGACACAAGGTACATGCCAGCTCGTCTACGTCATGAATGCTCGTGAATTACAATGGAATTTTCCCACGACAGAAAGGCCCTCTGATAACACCAACTACTTGAAAAGTTATTTATTTTTCCCATTTACTGGCTGTTTACATTTAAGTATCTAACCAAACAGCAGTTTTTTTTTACCAAAGTTTCAAGGTTTGTTTTATATGCACTGAAAGGTTTCCATTGTCTATGCATAAACACCAATATATTCGGTAGCTAATCAAAGCGATGCTTAGGCCGAATGTATTTTGGATTCACACACAATCTTAATTTTTACAAACATTTGAAAATGTTAACCTTGCCAGTAATCACGGGGTCCTTTTGTAGTTCTCGAAGCTGTTATGCATTTCTTAGCGTTGAAAGGGTTGTGTTCATATGCTGTTCAGAAGTTTATACTGTAAATTCAGCATAAAGCCAAGAAAAAGCAAATAAATGCACCGCAAAATCATTGCAATTTAATTTACTTATTTCGTTGTAACATCATTTTTTTGTTTTAGATTTAATGTAACTATAATATATTTTAAAGTTTTTTTGTATGTTTTTTTTAATTACTTTTACACTTAGCAAATTAGCCACTGTAACAAGCTGAAACTAGACGCTGGCCATAGGCAAAGCGTTCCAGTTTCAAACATACTTATGGCCACTCACTACTGTAAGACACAAACCTCACATCCAATCACATAGAGCAGTAATACAGGAATTTGCGAGTAAGCAAAACAACAAGCCTGACACCGGAACACACAATCAACAATTTCACCCAGACAGCCATTAGGGTTTAACAAAGGCTTTCAGAAAAATGTAACCACCCACATACATTTACTAGTGGCTTTCTGTATGTTTAATTCACCAAATTTAAGATCAAGATTCAGCATCTTTTCTATTATCCTTCGGTTAAAAGTGAGAATGTTCCATTAAGCCATTAAAAGCTACAGCCACTACGCAACCCTTGATGGTATCTGAACAAGTCCAATTATTTTTTTTAAAAATCCACAAATGGCCATAATGCCTTTTACAATACCCTGCAATGAAGAATGACAGCGTGTACATGCTTAAATTTAACAAAACTGAACAGGTACTGTAATTCTAAAGCGGTTTTAAGCATGTGCTTGCAGAAATCTTGCTAAAGGCACTATGAGGCAAAGTTTTATGAAGGACTGTTTCAAAGTGGCTCTGTTGGGAATATCTTTCCAATGTTGACATTATCTAGGAATTACAGGCACACACGTTATACGCAATACATCCAAAAACATAGTACATACAGTTTATACATGTCACGTCACCAATGAAAAGCAGTTGGGCCAGTGGTTAAGATGAGCAATGTTTTTGCACATGGTTTAGAATATTATCACACTACCGTCTATTACAGCTGTTTAGTAATGAACCTAGAACCAATCAACAAATTACCCTGTGATCTTATGAGCACATGAATATAAATTTGTCAAGGGTTAAAAGCCGCAAGTTAATCGATACAGTCCAACCGAAGGTATTAGAGATGTAGCCATTAACCCAATAGTTTTATGAAGAAGCAAATGGGCTACAACAGTAAGCGGTTCAAATTGGCGACGTTTTAATGTACACTGCATACATATACGATATGTACACAAACAAAAATATATAAACACACAAGTACAATTTATTCATAGATTTGCTTGCAGTTGTGTGTTCATATATATTGTAACTGTATGCACACATACAATACACACATTCTACTTAACCTGCCAACACTTCACAAAATCAAAATGCACTCAGAAGGGGACATACTGCATTTTGATTTTAGAAATGGTACTTGATTACACCACGTGTCATGCATTAGTGTACCATCTTTATTCCAATTTAAAAGTGTTTATCAACAGGCCAGTGGACGAGCCACTTCCAAACCCACGCAACTATTACTTAAGGATTAAACGGTGCCGTTTGGTTTTCAATTATGAATGCAATATGGTGGAATGCTACACAATGCCAAAACACCTAGAGTGCACCCGAGTACAACTCGTAAAATGGTGTATTCATGTACCAATTATTTAAAAACGCTCCCTCCAGCACGTATACATAGTTTGTTATTTTCCTCGTCACCAATAAAAAAAAGTTCACTTAAATGCAAACTAGAAATACTGCAAATCAAAAAAAAACTTTAAAAATCAAACACCAAAAGATATTGTAGTATTACTTGTTAAATATAAATTTTAAATGTTGAAGATGTGGAATGCAAATAAGCTTAATAATTTAACACTTCAATCTTAGCACTGACATTCTTGCAGTCATCTGGGATAAACTAGGCTTCCTGTATATTGCCTATTATGTTGCAGCAGTGGAAGCCTGTCAATTTCCCCAATTCCAACATAACACGCACACAAAACCAGTTTCAAACTTATCACCAAATACAAGTGTATGCCTCTCAATCTCGTGTTTTCAGCAACCACCAAATAGAGATGGAACTGTTGCTTTGCCCACTTACGCAAACAAAACTGAAAGCCACTTTAAATACAGGTCCCTGTGCATTACAGATGGTAAAATAACATGTCACTTTCAGGCAACTATACATCTAAAATGCACATGACACCAAGTTGTGAAATAAATGTTCATTCTGCAAAAAATATATCTAAGGAGCCCCAAATATCTTCATCTCTCAGCATGTAGAAAACATGCAACCGAGGCCAAATGGAAAATGTGAGTTTAGTTCTTAATGTTACAGCTTTCAACATGCATTCAGTATTTTATTCCCATTATACAAATCAGCTCTCAAATTTGCAATCCTTAAACAAATCAGTTTTGGAAGCTGAAGCATAAACACATTTGAAAATGCACAAGATCCATATGGAGGTACAACCACACTGCAAAATAGCACACTAAATTCAATGTCTGCATACATCTTAAACCAAAGTGATGAGCATTGTAATGGTGAACTTCCAGACCTGGAAAGTGACGTCAAAGCTACTGCATGTATTTCAACTTGACCCGTTTTACATAATTTAACATCATGCATGCAGGAGGTTTTTAATGCATGACTTGAAATGAGGGAGGTAGACTCTTACACATACATTCAACACCAAACTAGTAATGCCCTTAACTCCTGCAAACTGAATTTTGATTTGAAGCTTTCGTGACTGCAGTAATTCATATTCTTAGTTTTTTCGGTAAAGTCACATTGAAGAGAAACAACAAAACAATAAAATATATATAAAACAATAAAAAATTCTCACGACGTTTCGAAGATGACCGTTTGAGTTATGGTCGAAACGTCGTGAGAATTTTTTATTGTTTTATATATATTTTATTATTTTGTTGTTTCTCTTCAACGTGACTTTACCGAAAAAACTAAGAATATGAATTCCTGCAAACTGCTCAAAACTTAACCCGGAGCTCGATAATAAATTTTGGTTTCAGAATTCTATCATAATTCAGCATTAAATGAAAGCATTATTGCGTTTACCTGTCAATTTTTTTTTCTCATAAAAACACAATTCGTACCTTTTGCCAAAGTACAGGGGAGCTCAGGGTTTCGACTAGAACTGGGCGATCCGATTTATGTAATCTATTATTACAGTTTGCTTAGACTAATTGGAGAACAAAAATAGTTGTAAAAGGTTTTACCCATTAATGTGCCACTGGCTACTGCCTTAATTGGCATCAGCTACATCCACACTGAGCATTGCTCTTCAGGGGGCTTCTGCCACAAAGCAGTTCCATTTTTTTTCTCATTAATCAACTTAATCATCCTAGCTTGAGTTTGGACTCATTGAAGCTAGCCAACTTGTCAAATTCACCCTCCACCAACAACCATAACACTACCCTTTACCTAAAGGTTTGGAAGAATTACATTTTCACTTGAATTCCAGAACCATATTTCAGATGTTATGAAACCGTCAGGAGTTTCACCACACATCAATATCTGAATGGGAGAAGACTGTACACAATTTGTATGCATTCAAATGTTCGACAAAATGTTCAAATTAAACTGGTAAACTGATCTAATTAATAATTTGACCTTGTGCATTTACAAATGTAATAAATGTGCACTGCAAAAAACGCCAGTCCAAAACCGAAACTACGTGCAGACCACAACTGCAGTATGTTTTATTTTATAAAGCATTATACTATGCAACAAAGGAAGCTCAGACATTCTGCATGCCACAAAATGTAAACGTTTACATTTTAAGCCTTAAAACTTGTTCTTTTTAACAATCAGGCCTAGCGAATGCAATTGAAAAACAAATTTAGTTTAGCCCATTGTTTAGTTATAAGTTCAATTTGTTCCGATTTACAACATTTTTTATTGAAAATTTCTCCTAATTCCCATAGCAATGAAGCGGAATTATTTTTTATTTCTGTGAAAGGTCTAGTTCAAATACTGTCAGCTTAATATTTACACATCCGCATACATTTCTAAGCTGAAATTCTGTTATGCATTTTCTGTGCATCCATGAGGGCAACCTGCATATGGTAGCTTACAAATTCCAATGGTGTGTAAGAGCTGTATGTTAGTATCATTCAAATTCGGTCTACTTAAAAACAGGATCAATTGAACAGATGCATGGGTGTCAAGGTATATCTCGTTTGTACATAATTTAGTAAAACACTGAATTAATCAAATTACTATTTCAAATTTTAAGGCTATTAAATGGCCACTTCACATTTTTGCAGAGCAAGCAGACAAAAATGAAAGAAAAAACCCCTCCTAACACAGGTTTATTATTATTATGCAGGCAAAACATTAAAAATCGAACTCAGCAAAGACGGCCAGTAGATGACGGCTGCCTGTCTTAGATGGGTTCATCCTTCTCGCTGAAGGTGGTGTCATCATCTTGGCTCCCATCACTCTCCGCGTCGTCTGAGCTGTCCGAGAGGTCAGGGTCTCCAATGAAGAAAGAACCCAGCCTGCCGGGAAAAGTATGCCTTCCCTCCACTACAGCAGACACATCGGGCTGAAATGTGGCACACTACATAAACCACACATGCGCACACACGCACACACACACCATATTATAATTAAAACGCATTTTTGACCCAAGCACTATTAACAGATACCAGTAATTGCAATGAGGGTTTCAGTGGCTAAAAATGCAACAAAAATGCATTTGCAAAGCGTAATTTATTTGTTATACTTTAGCTGTAAAGGTTGGCACAAACCTGAATGCCACAGTCAACCTCGCTGGCTTGGCTTGTCTGGATGTTACCCAACTGCTTGTTAATCCAGCTGGAATCTCCCTTTTCACACGACTCTGAAAAGGAGAAAGATATTTTACTCAGTTTTTCATAAGACAGGAAGTAAGAATCAATATTCAATTTCCAATATTTGAAAAAAAAAAAAAAATCTAAGATGTTGTTACTTAGGCACGTGAAAAAAAGTTTTCAAAATGTCATTTAATTTTTTTGTAACTTGGAATGGGTGTGGCTATTAAATCATGTTATGAGGTATTGTACGTTAATAAAAATAAACCTTTATAATGGACGAAAGCTCAGGCAAATGTAACTACGATTTTGTCACATACAATTTGAAACGTTAAAGATCGTGTTTTGTAAACTAAAAGACAGGCATCTATTGTGCATGTTCTTGCTAAACGTACCATTTAAAAAAAATTGCTGTTAATGGCACTGCTGCATAGTACACGACTCAAAATGCAAGTGTATAACAGTGGATGTATCCAATCCAATCATGGAAAAAAGGGGCGTAAATAGTCAAGATAGAAATTAATTCCTCAAAATCTTCTGGAATTATAAATATCTAAGAAAAACATGCGTTGACGTCTGAAGTCCAATCACCAAGAGCGCTTTAACAATGCTAAAAAACCACAAGGGTAACCGAAAACCATCCAATTTGTCACATCAATATTATACAAAACAGGTCCCTGCAGGGTGGGCTGGTAGAAGTTCGCAAATGAGATCATGTGACTTCCAAATGTTGGGTGCAATAAGACATATCAAGTCTCTGCGCTGTCTATTGCTGAGTTTACACCCAACAGCACGAGATTTCACTTCGTTAAAGTATTGAAAGGGGATGGACGGACGGACACATTAATCTATTGCAGGCTGGTACACTCAGTTTACAACTTCATTCCTACCAGTATAAGCAAACTATCAAAGTGAAGACTTCCTAAACCACTTATAAACATCTGATTTTTAAATATACCTCCACAGGAAAAAAACATAAGTTAATATATTACCTGGAGGTTTGGAACATCTGATTGTTAGACGAGAAATAGAGTCCAACAAATTCCAGCAATCGTCTTCTTGCTCCTTGGTCTCATTGTCAGACCAACAATTCTTACAAGCAAGAAAAGGCTATAGAAAAAAAAAACCAAGGACCAAAATCAGCAAAATGGTATAAACATTTTCATATGCAAACAGACTTCAAAAACGTCCAAACTGGCTCATGTGGGCAGTCGGTAATACAGTATGCCCTCGAAATCACTTGGGGGGGAATGTACTATCCGACACGCAAGTTGTTTGGGGTTGAACCCTACACATAAGCAACATCAACTTAAAATTTCGATGTTGTGTAGACCCAGTTTAATACTGTACTTCTACTGTAGCATTGGCTTGTGTATTCAAGAATTAGCTTGTGATTTCCAGTACTTTCACTTTATTTTCATGTTGCTCATATATTAAAAAGCTAAATAAACATTGCAAGCTATAAATGGGATGGAACATGTCCATTGAAAAGGGGCATCTAACCCACGAATTAGCTCAATATATTAAGGTTATTGTATGTTTTTCATTTGAACGGATTACACAAAATAGAAAAAAATTGAATTCTTAAGCGTTACCTTTGCATATCTTTCTTGCTCATCAGAAGTTGAGTAAACTCCACCAAGAATGAAGGATCCATAGCACTCATCTGTTCCACGTTCTCCACCAGTGCTTTGTTGCTCAATGTCCTTATTGGCATCATGCTTTGCATTGGAACCAAAGCACCCAATAACGTGAGGCGCACTGGAACTTTCAGACGCACACTCATGAACACAATCATCCCCACAAGCCACAGTGAGTTTATCTTGCGAGTCCAGGGATGTTTGTGCTCCCCTCTCAATCGCAGTCTTCCTTACTTGTGGAACCTCCATATGTTGTGTATCGGTTTCACTTTGTGCATAGCATTTGTATTCCTGGTAATTAGCGACTGCATCTTCTTCTAGGGGCCTTAGATCGGCCTCTGGCTGTTCAAACAAGTCGCTGTATGTTACAATGGGCAGGGTTTCATCACCCTTCTCCGATTCAGAGTCTGATGTATCACCTGCAAATGGAGAAAGCTCGCCAGCTTGAATTGGGCGGAAGTGGGTACGTGGCGAGATCCGTATGGCACGGTACTGCATCTGGCAAAGCCCATACACTTTTTGGTGTTCCAGGTTGTGTGCTTCCGTGCCCGAGCTCAAAACGGGTTTCGGCTTGAAGGGAGCATCCAGTGGAGAATCGACATCAGGCTGTACAGCACATTGGACACTCAGAAGATGTGAAAAATGACTGTTGAGATCTAGCGACGGAAAAGTGCACTTGATGCCAGGGCTGTGACAAAAATCTGATCCAAGGTAATTGCTGTAACTTCCCCCACAATCATCTTGCAAAAGGAATGGGATGGTGGCATCCATTCTTTCCTCCCACTTTACAGACAGTCCACCTTGAGCAAATGGAAAGCGAGATTTCCAAAGGGATTTGTGTTGTGCATGAAAATTTGGTGCCATACACAAGTTTGAGCCTGCAATAATTACTGCATTTGGGGATGCACTCTCAAGCAAACTGCTGTCTTTTTGTTCAGTGCTAGATACAGAAGACCAGTTCTGCATGCTTGAACATTCATCCTTTAAATGCTTTCCTGTTCCATATACACCACCCAAAATAAACGACGTGTCTGTTTCCTCAGTCATATCCCACACTTTTTCTGATGTTCCTTCTGTCATTACTGATGCATTGGAATTTACATTATCCCAAAGACGATACTCTGACCGCTGTACAGCTGTTGAAGCCATTTTAGGCAAACATTTTTTTACTTCTACATTGCAAGGTGGGGTTGTAACCTCGACTGTTAAAGTATGGTTTGTAACAGAAGCAGAGTGGCTGAAGTTTGGTGGTGGCAAAACCTCATGAGAGGTCTCGTTCAAAAATTGTATTGAATTCCCTGAGCTAGATTGGTGAGGAAATGCTAAAAGAGGGGCGGACAAATAAATATTTTCATTGACAAGTGGGATTTCCTCTCCATCTTCCTCTAATTGTATACCACAAACAGCAGCCAACTTCGATCCATGCTTGCAGCTTAATGGGGGCAGTTTTCGAAAAGCACCATCAACATCAAACTGGTTATGTTGTGGAATTAAGTTGAGAAGATCAGACTCTTGCATGGTGACAGAATCAGTTAGGCTACTAACATTCTTTTCCTCTGCTGAAAATTTTGATGAATCGTCACCCTGTAAGCTGAAGGAAGCTGCATCTTCAGAACGAACATCATCAGAATGGGACCATGGACTGCCAGTCCGTGTGGACAAACTAGAGAAAGGGCCATCATCTTCACACGTTTGCGAGCGGGTCCACATTGCCAGGCGAGAGGTTTTTGCTGCACCTGCATCTTCCCATAATGCTGAACCAAGCTTCTCACTTACTGTGTCTACAAACACTTCCAAAGGGCCCCGAGGTTGGTTTGTAAACTGAACGTCTACTTCAGGGAAAAGAGCAGCCATATCTAAACCGGGGTCAGGTTTGGGAAACTTATCTTTGTCAGAATTTAACTGTTCAATTTGAGGGCACTCCTTGCTTTTGATTACAAGGCAACCAAATCTCTCATCAATGTGGAAAATTGGACTGTTGAAAAATGACACAAGATGGTCATCTTGCGAGCCTTCATCTTCTGAACAGAATGAAGGAGATGAACAATCCCAGAACCGAGCAACTGTTGGGCTCAGCTTGTTAATGCTATTGTTGCCATCCTGGGAATCACGGAGGTTCATAATTTCAGGTTTTTCCAAAACCTGTTCATCTGTCCATATTGCACTTTCACTTTCTTTACTTTGAGTCTCAAAAGAACCAACATGATTTTCACTTTCCACTGAAACGTGCTCCGTGCTGTTTTGGTGGATTAGCTTTAATATACGACTGCTGTTAGGCAGCAATTCAGATGCAGAAGGATCCAACATGGATTGATAAAAATTTACTTCACGGAAGTAATCACAGTCTAAACAGTTTAGCTCAGTACGGATGTTGTTCTTTAGCTCTGTAGTTGGCATTTCACGCTCAGCTCCATCAGAAGAAACTACTGGCACTTCCACAAAGCACCCATCAATAAATGTGCCTGCTGACCTAAAAACATCATCGTATGTATTTTTACTGTAATGTGGCGGATGCACTTCTTCGGAACGCTTGGCCTGTGGATGCAACTCAGAGTTTTCAGCTTGTGAACTAGCAAGCCCACGGTACGACGTTTCTAGTTTGCTCTTCTGGTTCTGCGACACAAAGCAAACACCAAGGGGTTCTGTATACCACATTGGTTCTTCTTGAAGACCTTGTCTTCTAGTTTGGCCAAACAGGTTTTCTTCACTCGTCAATTCCAAATCATTACTTTTTCTCCTTTCTTTTTCAGCAAAGCCCCCTCTGGAATATGATTCATATCTGGCTGTACCACCAAAATATTTGCTTTTGTCAAATTTCTTAGAATATTTCCTTGACGGCTTAACCATTGCTTCTTGTAACCTTGGTACCCGGTCAGTTTCTCTAATTCTCTGCTTGAGACGTAATGCCTTTCTCAAGGTGTTCACTTCAAACGGTCTGTTGGAGCCAGAGGCAGATCCAGCATCACTCGAGTCAGAAGAGCCCGAATGTGTTCTAGGCAATTTCCCTTCTCCAGACAACCTAACCCTTCCTTGCCGACGCGAGAAAGATGGCTTGGCCTTATGACGCTTGCAGATGCTGCGATCATGCTCGTTCTCTTTGCCGCTGTCTCTCTGCCCTGGAGAACTACCAGACTCTAGCTTCCCAGACGGTCTCTCCCGGACTGTCTCGTCATCATCGCTGCATATCTCTACTGGGGAGCAGGTGTCTGTGCAGGCTTGCTGGAGGGTAGATGATGAAGAGACAGAGTCAGAGGTGGAAGAACTGGTGCCTCGTAGCATCTTGGCTTTACAGACCCAGACAGATGTCGAAGTTGCAGGAAATGGAGCAGTCTTTTCTGATAGAGCAGGGAATGCTTCGTAGTACCTGAAAAACAACATATTTGTTAAAGAAAAAAATATGCAAAGGAAAGAAATAATAAAAATGTTGGTATATTATAAGGTTACTCACATTTCAGCTTCATCCTTGTTAGAAGTTGGCCCATCATCAAGTGACGGAGATCCTTTCTTTGGTGTGAGCTTCCCAAAAGACTGTCCATCTGTAAAAAAAATTGCTTATGTTTGTAAAAAATATATAAAATATATATTTCACTCGACAAATACTGCATTTAACCTATGGTTGCTCACCTACAACCGGTCAGCCTTAGCTATTTTCACAATCAATTACCAGTTACAAAAGTCAGGAACGCATAATATTTTTTTATAATAAGGAATGCACTGATTGGCATGCGCAGGACAACTCTGAAAGTGCTTGCTTACACAATTACTGGTAGAAACGGCCTCCACTAGAGAGAGCCCTAGGTTTTTGGTCTCCAAGTCAATGCGGACAAGGAATCTTGAAAGTGGGCGTACCCACTTTTTCCCACCATATGCGACCTGCCAATCAAATAAATGTGGTGTACCACCCAATCGTGCTGCTGGGCAAACAGAAGCAGGAGGACAATACATTTCAACCATTGCTTCACCACCAGTTCCCTTGGTGTCGCAGTTAAACAGATACAAAAATGTGATGTTTATTGCAAGATATATTTATGTGTGACAAACCAGTAAAGAAAAAGTCTGGTTTCCGGTAAAAATCTATTTCAACAACCCTAGTTTAAACTAGTCTCACTTCATGGTGCAGACAAATGGTAACACTTTTTTAATGCAATTTTATTTATGATACTTTATGCTACATATTCTACACACGTACCCTTTTGCTGGTCTTGGAGATCTTTTAATTTACAACAGAGCTCTTCCACCAACATTTCTATACCGGATGTCTGGAAAACACAATATTTGAAAACATTTCAGTTCAGCTGGAAGTGGTTGTTTTAGACACCATTCACCACAGTTGACAAATATTAAACACCTGCTTTAAAACTGTACACAATATATTTTAACTCCGTTCCTACAGTATGCGATATCCCGCACCTCCGATTAGCATAGTTGGCTACGTACGGTGCAAAATAAGTCCAACCTACATACAAACTTTTAAACCTAAGTTGTAGAATATACAGGTCCTTAAAGGAACGACTATACATTTACATTTTAAGGTAATAAAGTGCCAGCAGTGTTAACAGAAATGTAGTACATGTTTTAATATTTATGAAAGTGACAAATAACTATAATTCTCATAACATGTGCCAAGTCATATTAAAAGGACTTGTGAAGACAAATGGCGGTTCACCAATAGGTATGAGGCACTGAAATCAGTTGGGTATTTATCAATCATGTTTAAATATAGAATATGCACTTGCCTTATTTATAAAGAATTTAACATGTACTTTAATCAGATACTGTATTCCAAAGCTTAAGGTATAACTTTGACCTTTTATAAAACTCGTGACATCAAGAGATTGGTATGAGAAGGCAGGCCACACCTTCACCATTGCCCTTCATTTACACTTGCTGCAGGATTAGCGAAAGTCACATGACCTTGTGGAATGTGGGTCTCTGCTCTGTAGGCCTACCACAGTACTTTATTTAAAAATAGCAACACCAGCCACTGGGCGGGCCTCTCGTCCCGTCCCACAGGAACCGGCTTTTTCGCACTTGGTGCCACATCATTATTACAGTTTCACTATCTCACGCAAACATTCCAGCACATTGAACACGAGATACACCACAGCATTTATTTTTAAACAAGTTTAACATTATTGCTGTCTACCACACGTATATACACAAAACACACTCATCCAGTACTTAATTAAATTTTGGTCAAATATATAAAATGACGTTTTAAATGACAAAACGTTTAGACGTAACCATACTGTTAGTTTATACAGTGACGTCTTATGAGCAAGCCCAAGTCAGCTGACATTAAAGCTGGTAAACCGAGCTGATCAGCAGGATAAAAATAGCTGGCACACCAGAGCCGAGCAACAAAGTAACAAACGGGCACAAGCGAGGCAGAAATGTTTTTTGTCATTAAATTATACTCTGCATATTTCATATTCCAGTACGTTTGGTAACCGACCACCACTTTTAAAGCACTTACAACATCAAATAAAAGAGGTTGTAAGATATACGTATGTAACTTTATTCTACGCTTACAAACGAAAGCCATAGCAAACTTATACAAACAAAATAAAACAGTTTCTTGAAGCACTGATGGATTCGGCAGACGACTTAATTTAGTAGTGGCAGTGATCCAAGAACTATCTAATAATCTGTTGTGGTCACTTGCCTGACTTCCATTGAAACTTAAATCCTACTTTAAAAACACGTTTTTAAGGTATCCATACAAGCTACAAAAAATAGTTTAGAGATATCCTTCACTTTATAAACATTCGGTTAAAATTTCGTGTGAACCAAATTGACAAATTATGGATACTTTTTTAATTAAATCGAATTTCCACGTTAACGAATTTAATTCATATGGTACAAGCCATGAGATCAAACAAGAACCACGCAGGAGGCTTCATCATCCATCTGCGACAGCATCACGCATCATGGTATTCCTCGTGCAACATTAAGGTCACCACATCACTTTTCTGGTCATTCCAACATGACCGGAAAGGCGAGTTCCCTTAAAAGGGGGCAACAATTGTTTTTATTAGTCAATGGTTTATAACATGTTGTGTATGAATAAAATTCGATGTCATTAATAGAAGTGGGTGGCTTCCTTTATGTGCAACCCATCCACTTTTATTCAACAGGTACATTTTATTTTATTTCTGGGGTGAAAATAACGTATTTCTGCTTTCGAATGCAAATAAAAGTGTGCGCATTGAAAAACCTGTTTTACCTACTTTTTTGTATTGAACATTTACTATTTTTTTTGTTTTTAAAATGGGAAAAGCAATTCCGTTTTACGCGTTTTTTTGAAGAACACATCACTTTCGTAAATCTAGGTATACCTGCATATAGCTTAATTTGTGAGATAATGAAATATCCAGTTGATTGTATTCCATCTAAATGGGGTTAAACCTAATTAGTATTTTATAGCAGCACCTACCAACCACACTGTATTTGCATGTTCAGCAACGCCAAAGCCATTTCCAAGGCGACTTTTCATCAAAACAATCAATCTTTCTTTTAGAAAAAAAAATTACCTACCACCAGGTGCTGTTCCAATAATCAGTGCAAGTGTAATTTTTTTCCACATGTAAAATATTACGCTTGAAAAAAACATGTTTAAATATAACCAAGTAGACAACTAATTTTGACTCTTTTCTAAAATAAACCATGAACACACTTTCTGAAATGTGGCTTGAATGTTCTAATTTACAAATTTTTATGTTTTAATATGCAATTGGCTTTGTCTGCTGCCATTTTGCAACTTATGCCTCTTTAATATAACATAACTATTTATAGCACGTGTAAACATCTACTGAAAACCTCACGTGGTTGTTTTCAATGGGAGACTTCTCCACAGCAAATACACTTGCCTACCTCTTCTGAAGCAGAGCGGAGACATTGGACAGCAGCCTGCTTCTTCATCTCCTCCAAACTTAGACCAGACGTCCACTTCTTCTTGTTCTTACCCAAGCGGCGACCTGGTCCTTTGTCCCATGGCACACAGATGTTACCTTCCTGTAAATAAGAATAAAGCAAACAACCATCACTTGCTATATCATTTTCAAGACTATTTTTTTTCTAAAATACAGGAAAAAATCTAATTGCCAAAATGTTATATCAATACATCAGACTTCATTTGCATGTTCCCAACCTTAGGTCATATTACACGTTATCACTGGCCATCTGTAAATATGGCCAATATAAAATGTATCCCGTCCGTTTAGAGCTTTAGAAAGACTAACCTGTTCTTGAGGTTCCACTTCAAAGGTGTCTTGGAGGAGAAGGCTAAGGATGTAACGTGTGTAAATCACAGCATCTATCCCGCACTTCTCCAGCTCCTGGCCCAACCACGTCTGCACAGGACCCAGGGCCTGTAGTATAGACATGGTGAAGGAACTCTGCACGTCCCTGCAGCCTTCAGACAACTTTTCCAAGGAGAGAACTAAAGATGGGCCTCACGGAGGGAGTTCTGCCTAGAAAACCCATTGTGCAGTATACTTGGTAAGGAATGCCACCTCTGGCAGCCTAGGTAGAGCTTCTCCCTGCCATGTCAGCCAAACCACATGATGTTTAGGTTTGGGTACCTGGAAAAACAAAAATCAAATCGTAAATTAAAATTGGAATGCAGTCAATGGTAGCGGCAAATCCATTATTGCTATAACAATATCCAAAACAATTCATGCGCAAAACTTAAAACTGTGTATATATTCACGTGCTTATGATGTCATTGTAATAAAATATTAACTGGGAGATTCCAATGCAACGTGTAGTTTTCAAACGTAAACAAATGAGTAATACACACCCAGTAGTACTCGCCAGCCTCAGGACTAAACAAATATTCTTAAAAAGCTCGGCTTAAAGGGCTTAGGTGGATGCAGGAGAAGCCCCGCGTGGGTAGGTAACTTCACCGCGTCGTGAAAAGCAAAACAAAACAGACGCGTGCTCACTACACGCGCTATCAACCTTACAAACAGCCACGCCATCTTGGGGCGCCGTGAAAGACACTCCCTCGCGTTTGCACGGTTACCACGTGTGTCCTTTTAAAGCCCAACAACGACCCCTCTATAGCAACCGGTATCACGGCAGTAAATGGGTAGCAAGGCGCCAAAACAAATTTCGTCTGTGCGCGACCACATCCAACCCAGTCCCTTTTAAGGGAAACGGCTGTGTTTTTATTGAATTGTAATATTCACCGAATTTAACACCCCCCCCCCCTACCCGCCTATTCGATACCTACGTATTTCCTCAGCATTAAAAACGCCGTTTATCACAGAATCAAGAAAAATGAAAGACAGAGGCAAGTCACGTATACACGCGAACAGTTTATGACGAACCTAACACCTATTGTGTACAGTATTTAACAAGGGACGAATTGTATTCGATTCAGGTAGAATATCCTTTGATTTGTCGACTTGAAAAACATTTAAACCGTTAATGTGCACGCACCACATGTATTCCTTTGTTACATTGTCTCCCAACATTTAACCAACAACACCAGAAGAGCCTCAATCTAAACACGTCTGGCTGCGTTTTTAAAACGTCCATAACTTCGCCATACACACGTGATATTGAGATGCTCCACCATTGTTGTGAATAAAAGCGCCCCGCTCAGTCGAAAACATTCCTTCCTTAATTGAACTCGCCCCTCTTGTAAGTATAAAACGAGTTAACTTCACGGGAACTCAACGTTCATCGCGTTCCATGAAAAACTCGGCACTGCCATGGTAATGTGGAATTTCCACAATTTCTCAAGCCTCAGAAAACAGACTAACACATCACCGCGATCGTGTTGAGCGGTATTACCACTCACAAATGTGTCGAAACGGCCAATTAATTTATCGGAAACTAAACGCCAACGCGTTGTTATTGTTGAAGCGCCGGCCGGAGAGGGGGGGGGGGAATTCAGGAAAGCCCGGGCTACGCGACTGGCCGCTAGGCCGCACGCAAGGGCACTCGTCTCGCTCATTCAATCCGCAGGGTTCAAACCGCGACGTTAACACAGCACGCGGGCACGCGAGGGTACAAAAAACTAACTCAACGGACGACCGAAAACAACAATCGTATTCGCGTTATAATCGCCGAGTTCCTCACCTCCCCTCACACACGCAACGACGAGGCGAGGGACGCGGCCGCGCCGGGCGGAGACGTCACGTGACGAATCCCCCCCAACCCACTCGCCCGCCGCACTAAATCCCTCCGCCGATTGTTTATTACAACGCAACACCCCCCCTCCCCCACCACCGTATCCCTCCGCGTAGAGGGGACGCGCGCGCGCGCGGGGGGTAGGGGGGTGGAGAAAAATAAACCCCCGCGCGCTCAAATCGGAATTTTATTCGTTCCACCGAACGCTTCCCCGCCTCGCGATAGATAATCAATATTTAAATGAGCCTCGAGACAATGGCTTGCGGACGAGTGGCGTCGTAGAGACGAGGCCCGCCGTCCCCCCTCCCCCCACCATCTCCCCCCACCATCTCCCCCCCCACTCTTACCCGAGTGTGCGTGTGCGCTATCTATTCTGACCCGGGGCTTCGTGGGTGGGTGGTGGTGGGGGGGGCCGCAACAGCGTTTACATTCCGTAGACGGCACGCGCGGCGCGGCTGTCTTAGGCGATTCCCATTGGTCGAGGCGAGCCCCCACAGCGTCGCAAGCTCGCCTGCGATTGGCTCATCGCGGAATGGCGCGCGGGTTTCTGCGCAAGCGGTCTGTGTAATGTAAAGGCACTGAGCGGTTACCCGCCCCCCTCCTCCCCGCGCTGGGGGTCACGGGGTCCGGGCTGAGCCAGACGCCCGTGCCAGCCTACAGGTTTTTACCTTCAAAAAGCAAAGCTCCCCCGTATAGCCTGTCGCAGACTGCAGGGGCAAGTGCTGTAAAGCGAGTCGCACCTACGAAGGCCGGCACGGCACACACGAGGGGGGGTGGTTGGCCAGCAACCACGCCCGACCGCCTTTGTCTCCCCCAGTGGCGGTGTTTACTACACACCGCACCAGCTACTAATTCGAGGCTGAGTCGACCTAGGGGAGGCCCCACGCCCGGTTCAGATAATCGTCACTGTGGTGTTGGCCGTGAGCAGGAATCAAACTCGGGCGGCTAAGATCGTAGCGCAGCGCGCTAATCGCTAGAACCAGCGCTCCCTACATCGCGCACACACACACAATATATATAAACACCGTTTATTTATATTGCATTTGAAAAGTGATACATTAACAAAGACGCCCTTTTTCTAAGAGAGGATCTGTTAATCCCATAGACGCCTGGACTACATTTCCGTGCCCCATATGTCTTCCTGTACTGTGTTAACAGTACGACTATTGTTTTTTTCTTTTTTTTTTAAAGAACATTGTCCGTATATTTATCAATTTTAAACGTGTGGTTAAACATCCAGCGACGTCACTGAGAAGCCCATTGCGTGCCGGGCGGCTTGGTCCATTAATGTCAACAGAAACATCGCGTCCCTCCCCACCTTCTACTTTGAAGCTACTGCAGACTTTAACTATATTAACACATAGGCTTTCTCGACCAACATAATCCATAATACACAGGCAATTAGTAAGGTTAAACCCACCACCTTACTCATTGGCTGCGTCGGGTGGTGGCGGGTTTAACGACACATTTATATATTTACACGCTCTAACCTCAAAACAAACCTGAAATTATGTATAACAGTATTATGAAACAGCGCTTTCGTGATAGCTTTACGTTATATATATATTTTTTAAAAAACGCGCCAATAACTAATCAAATATAACTGATAATACAATTGTTTTGGATAAACTGCCCAAAATCATAAAAACCGGGAGGTTATTTCGGTAATTATGGGTGTATTATGTGTGGAGTTCGCCCCACACACCCAATCCGCCCAATAAAGTACGGAGGTCGACATACAGAGAACTCCAATAATCCGCGAGTTGATGAATTAGGGTTTGTTCGCGATTCGCGGTATCGCTGACCCTGCAATCCGCACAAATCTCTTGATTCGTAGACATCTCCGGGAGCGAGGAATTCCTCCTCCCCTGATCTGTGGCACACCGCGTCGGCGTGAAGGGTTTGTTGTTTTTTTGCAGATTGCGAGCAGGGCCGTATTGAGGTTGTGGGACCAAAATAGTATGAAGTCATCAACAGATTTATTTACCTTTGTAAAAAAAAGTGCATTCCACTCAAGATACATTCAAATTCATGAAACATAAATCACTGCAACCCATTTCTTCAAACAAACTATATAAAAAAATTCCTAGCTTCAATTATGGTCATGAATGATGTAACCATGATAATAATGAGACAAAAAGTATTCCAATGTCTGAACATTTCAATATGGGATGGAGGGCCTGAGTTCTCAGCAGGGCCCACACAAAATATTGGCCTTTGTGTAGTGGAGTTAGCGCGTTGGTGTTTGCAAGCGGTGTGGCACGCATGTGTGAGTTGCGGGCAGTGAAGTCACACATAGGGCACACAGGTGCGGAGAGAGACATCAATCAGGGAAGGTGAACAATTAAGATGCGTAACAATGATTGTTGCTGGCTGCAAAATACAGACACGGGGTAGGCGTCTCGGAGTCTGGAGATTGAGGCCCCCGGTAGCGGCGAAAGCCACGGGCTTGAGGCGACGTGAGGTCGCCAGGTTAATTAACGAGGAGTTAATGAGTGAGGGGATATAAGGCGACGTGCGGAGACACGCGGGGAGAGGTGTGAGTTGGTTGGAGTGAAGACAAGTCAAGTCCGGGCCCCGCTCTCCACGCCTCATCCTCTCCTCCAGCGGGGATGCCTGGTCCCCCCGCTGGAGGCAGGGGCGAGGGTAGACAGGCTAGCAGTAGAGAAGCTAACATAGTGTATAGCGAGAGGCTAGCAGTGGAGAAGCTAGCAGAGTGTATAGCGAGAGGCTAGCAGAGGAGAAGCTAGCAGAGTGTATAGTGACAGGCTAGCAGAGGAGAAGCTAGCAGAGTGTATAGTGAGAGGCTAGCAGTGTAGAGGCTAGCAGAGTGTGTAGTGAGAGGCTAGCAGTGGAGAAGCTAGCAGAGTGTATAGTGACAGGCTAGCAGTGGAGAAGCTAGCAGAGTGTATAGGGACAGGCTAGCAGTGGAGAAGCTAGCAGAGTGTATAGGGACAGGCTAGCAGTGGAGAAGCTATCAGAGTGTATAGTGACAGGCTAGCAGTGGAGAAGCTAGCAGAGTGTATAGTGACAGGCTAGCAGTAGAGAAGCTAGCAGAGTGTATAGTGACAGGCTAGCAATGGAGAAGCTAACAGAGTGTATAGTGACAGGCTAGCAGTGGAGAAGCTAGCAGAGTGTATAGTGAGAGGCTAGCAGTAGAGAAGCTAGCAGAGTGTATAGTGAGAGGCTAGCAGTAGAGAAGCTAGCAGAGTGTATAGTGAGAGGCTAGCAGTGTAGAGGCTAGCAGAGTGTATAGCGAGAGGCTAGCAGTGGAGAAGCTAGCAGAGTGTATAGTGACAGGCTAGCAGTGGAGAAGCTAGCAGAGTGTATAGTGACAGGCTAGCAGTAGAGAAGCTAGCAGAGTGTATAGTGAGAGGCTAGCAGTGTAGAGGCTAGCAGAGTGTATAGTGACAGGCTAGCAGTGGAGAAGCTAACAGAGTGTATAGTGACAGGCTAGCAGTGGAGAAGCTAGCAGAGTGTATAGGGACAGGCTAGCAGTGGAGAAGCTAGCAGAGTGTATAGGGACAGGCTAGCAGTGGAGAAGCTATCAGAGTGTATAGTGACAGGCTAGCAGTGGAGAAGCTAGCAGAGTGTATAGTGACAGGCTAGCAGTAGAGAAGCTAGCAGAGTGTATAGTGACAGGCTAGCAATGGAGAAGCTAACAGAGTGTATAGTGACAGGCTAGCAGTGGAGAAGCTAGCAGAGTGTATAGTGAGAGGCTAGCAGTAGAGAAGCTAGCAGAGTGTATAGTGAGAGGCTAGCAGTGTAGAGGCTAGCAGAGTGTATAGCGAGAGGCTAGCAGTGGAGAAGCTAGCAGAGTGTATAGTGACAGGCTAGCAGTGGAGAAGCTAGCAGAGTGTATAGTGACAGGCTAGCAGTAGAGAAGCTAGCAGAGTGTATAGTGAGAGGCTAGCAGTGTAGAGGCTAGCAGAGTGTATAGTGACAGGCTAGCAGTGGAGAAGCTAACAGAGTGTATAGTGACAGGCTAGCAGTGGAGAAGCTAGCAGAGTGTATAGTGACAGGCTAGCAGTGGAGAAGCTAGCAGAGTGTATAGTGACAGGCTAGCAGTAGAGAAGCTAGCAGAGTGTATAGTGACAGGCTAGCAATAGAGAAGCTAACAGAGTGTATAGTGACAGGCTAGCAGTGGAGAAGCTAGCAGAGTGTATAGTGAGAGGCTAGCAGTAGAGAAGCTAGCAGAGTGTATAGTGAGAGGCTAGCAGTGTAGAGGCTAGCAGAGTGTATAGCGAGAGGCTAGCAGTGGAGAAGCTAGCAGAGTGTATAGTGACAGGCTAGCAGTGGAGAAGCTAGCAGAGTGTATAGTGACAGGCTAGCAGTAGAGAAGCTAGCAGAGTGTATAGTGAGAGGCTAGCAGTGTAGAGGCTAGCAGAGTGTATAGCGAGAGGCTAGCAGTGGGGAAGCTAGCAGAGTGTATAGCGAGAGGCTAGCAGTGGAGAAGCTAGCAGAGTGTATAGTGACAGGCTAGCAGTGGAGAAGCTTGTGGAGTGTATAGTGACAGGCTAGCAGTGGAGAAGCTAACAGTGTATAGTGACAGGCTAGCAGTAGAGAAGCTAGCAGAGTGTATAGTGAGAGGCTAGCAGTAGAGAAGCTAGCAGAGTGTATAGTGACAGGCTAGCAGTGGAGAAGCTAGCAGAGTGTACAGTGACAGGCTAGCAGTGGAGAAGCTAACAGAGTGTATAGTGACAGGCTAGCAGTGGAGAAGCTAGCAGAGTGTATAGTGACAGGCTAGCAGTAGAGAAGCTATCAGAGTGTATAGTGACAGGCTAGCAGTAGAGAAGCTAACAGTGTATAGTGACAGGCTAGCAGTGGAGAAGCTAGCAGAGTGTATAGTGACAGGCTAGCAGTGGAGAAGCTAACAGTGTATAGTGACAGGCTAGCAGTGGAGAAGCTAGCAGAGTGTATAGTGACAGGCTAGCAGTGGAGAAGCTAACAGTGTATAGTGACAGGCTAGCAGTGGAGAAGCTAGCAGAGTGTACAGTGACAGGCTAGCAGTGGAGAAGCTAGCAGAGTGTATAGTGAGAGGCTAGCAGTGGAGAAGCTAGTGGAGAGTATAG